CATCTAATCTACTGAACCTAATCTATATTCACAGGAAAACCAAAATCAAAGAATCAAAACAAAAGGTATTATCAACTAAGACTGAAATCAACAACTAAATGAAATATGAAGATTTAAAACAATACCAAGTCAAACTATCATATGTGCAAATCAACTACCAGAGATATTACAATCAAAAGAAATATGCAAAATCAAAGAATCAGCAAAGAGAATTGGTTAGAATCAAAAACTATAATTAAATTCATGTAGATTCAGTGTACAGAGTAATTGATCATATATCAAGAATATTAAGATAAGCCCATCACAGGGTCTTAAAGTTCATTTTCAGAACTTAACAGTCAATAATCATCACTCAGTTCATCCAGACCACAATGAATCTAAATCCAATTCATGCTTCTAATCAATAACAAAGATGGAATATACTCTAATGGCAAATAAAACCTACAATACATTCTAAAACATACAAAATCCTAATTGAAATGGACTGACAGAAACATAATATGAATTACAATATTTTTTTCTTCAATAGACTCATCTCCAAACTTGAGAAGACATCTCGGTAAAATGCACATTTTTTTCTTCAACTATGTGGAGTCACAGAGTCCAAATCAGATTTTTCAAAGCAAATAAATTACAGAAATCAAAAGCAGAATTGAAGTCATAGGTGAAATGCACATTGGATTGAATATAAGAGTGTTACGAATTCTCAAGAAGACATCTTGTTAATGTGAATCCCACTACGGGGTATTCTAGGTCATATTTCAGAACCTAATTTGATTCTTTTCCACTCATTTGTCCAATCAATATTCATTAGCCTAATCAAATGCAAGGAAACATAGAACATAATTGAATTCAAAATAGAACTGAAATCGTAAACCAGAAACAGAATAAAAGCATTGAAATTGAAATTTTATTGAAAGTAAAATGAAAGATACAAAAATCTGCACCAGAAACTGCCAAAGGAGAACCGCGGATTGTCACTGATCCTTGATCCTCTTCAACAAAATTCAGAATAATAGAATTCTAAACTAAGAAAGCGATAAACCTAGGCTACTCTCTATTCTACTTTGTCTCTATCCAAAACTGTAAAAGAATCTCTATGAAAGTAAAGTTTGTGTGTGTATGTACATGGTAGAAGCCCCTTTATATAGGGTTGGAGAATAAAATGAAAGAGGGAAAAGGAAAAAGAAACTTGCTCGTGATGCTTTGAGCTTCCCAATCGGACGGTCAGCTGCTGCTCCCTTGTGCTCCATACATCAGAACCCTCCGATCATTTCATTTCTTTGCAGAACAAACTCCGGTCACAGTGCACGCTTTGGGTCTCCTCTTCTCATGCAAGGAGCCCTAGCTTTTGTCTTACTCTCTTGGCTCGTGTGTGCTACTGCCTCCAAATGAAGTGATGGAGTGAAGACCCCCAAAGGAACAGAACACCAAAACGATGACGTTCAACTAAAGGGTAAAGCCCACTGCAGCATCGCCAATCCACTCAGCCCAATTCTCCAAGCCTGCACCGTCAAACCAAACACAATGTTTTACGAATGGCCTAATAATCCAAATGTGGCAGCAACATTTTCAGCCCAAGGCTTGCTTCTCAGCGGCCCAATTCATTTTCTACAGCACAAAGCTTCCAATCAGCAGCTAAATTCAATGCAATGGCCCAATTTGACTTCTAGCGTCCTAATTTCCAGCCAAAACCATTCAATCAAGATAAGCCCAGATGACCAAAGGCTTTCCTGCAATTTAACTCAGAACCCATCAGCAAATAAAAGCAAGGCATTTCAACGATTAAAACTAAAGGAAAAGATTTTTATTAACAGATTTTCTAAAGAAAAAAAATATTAATTTCCTAATTATTAACAAAGACTAAAAATTACCTCTAAAAACCTAATTTTAACTACAATTTTATAAAACTACTAATTTAAAGAAAAATCCTAAAGCTAACCTATTTCTAAACAATTAAGAAGAAAAACAAGCTAACCTAGACTCCTAAACATAGAAAAAGATGTAAAATTGGAGAGTTATCAGAGATAATTGTGTATGATTTGTATAAAAATATAGTTGATAGATATAATAGTTTTCTTTTATTTAAACTAGTTTACCCTTGTATTTTTGTGGTCTGTATTTGTTTGTTGTTTCTCTTTTGCGATGATCACCTTAATGGTGTGAGCTTAGGGATACAATCTTTCAGTTGTCTCAGTGGGAGGTTGGGAGTGAAGCTTGCAATGTAGATGGTACTTTTGTTCTTCAGGTGAAGAATTTTATTCTTCGCAAAACTGTAATTCTTGTTATATCATTGTGTATGTAATGTTCATTTTAGTAGTTTTATATTACTAAACGGGGATGTTACATATAATATTTTAAATTTGTAATATAATTTTAATAATATTTTTATTTTAATAATTACTATAAAAAGTAATCTCATAATTTAATATATTTTATTATAGTAAAAAAAATTAATGCCCATCCCATTCCATTAGTGTAGTTCATCCAAACAAAAAAACCTAATGATATCGAATGAATTTATTTGAAAATTGGCTGACTCAATCCTTTACTGAATAGCTTGACTATTGCAGTGGACCTTTGACCAGCGATGATGCATCGGCAGTCAGAAAAAACATGCTGCGGGAATAACAAGAAGAATTAGCAACAGGGACTTGGACCGTCATTACATCTATTTCTCTTTTTTTTTAACAAATAATCATAACTAATTGTTCACTTGTATTTTTTTAATTTTTTTTTTATGTTTATCCATTTATTTTCCTCCCTGAAGTGGAGATGAAGATAAGTGTCACCTATATATTGAAGGAAAGATGTACAACTTCTGTATTTCCTATTTCTTCTGTCCAGAAAAGTTCTCACTTTACTTTCATTCTTTTGAAGTTTTCCTTTTGGATTTTCAATTTAAAAGCTTTTTATACTAAACAATTTGAAAGTCAAAACTATTATTTATATTATATAATTCAGAAGTCATTTCTTTATAAACGTTAATTTATGAATTGTATAATTTAAAAGGTATTTTGATTTTTGGATTATATAATCTATAAGTCATTTTTACATTAATTCATTTTAAGATTATATAATTTAGAAGTTACTTTAATAAAAAGTGGATTGTATAATATGAGAATGTTGCAGTACTTAAAAATAATTTTTTATAAAAAAAAGCTTTTAAATTGTAGAATTTGGAAATTATTCTAAATTATATAATCTGAACATTATTATTAAATATTAATAGGATTTTCATGAGAATGTAATATTTTATTTTGACCAATTTTAAATGAAAAAAATGAGAGATAAAAAAGATATAAGATAAAAAAAAACAGAAATAGAGTGCTGGTAACAAAAGGAAAAACGATGAAGAAATAGTCTGAAATCATTTTTGCCTTTTATACCTCTGAAAAGGATAAAGGAAGAAATCATGAGGTTTAAGAATAAATAATGACGTCATGTGAAAAGTAAAGCAAGCATTCTTCATGCATGAAAGTAATTGAAAATTTTATGACTCTTTCTTGTTTTTTCTTCTTGTCTTTTTGGTAGGTTTCAATTTCTCGTTTGACATGGTTTGACGCGCTTCCAAATGAACACTATCACATTTCAATTAATTTTCTTTTTTATTTTTAAAATTAACTTTATTTGCAATAAATAATGATGAGAAATTTAACTTGTTATCAAGATCTATTAAAAATGTTAGCAAGTTGAATATATCATTATATTTCTATACTTCTAGACCTATTGATTAAGATAATCTATGTGAAAAACTCTCAAATCATTTAAAACTCAAAGTCAATACTAATTTATATACAATTCATTAACTTTAATGAAATTAAATTAAAACATATATAATTTATTGGGATAAATAGTAAATTAAAGTCACTCTTGCTCTATTGATATAATTTATTGGGATAAAAAGTAGAGTTTAATGTCAATCTTGCTCTTTATTAATTGTTTCACTAAAAAAATCAAATTTTTAGGAATTAAAGTGAAAAGTAATTTATATTTATCATATTTTCCATGAATTAATATGTCTTTCGGAGGAAAATTAAAAGCGGATAAAAGATTAAAATCCAAAACTGAAAAACATTTTGAATGTAAAAATTGACCTAAAATTGTTATCCTACCCTAGAACATATATTAATACTAATATCATACTTATATGTATTTATATTGTAAAATTAAATTTATCATTATAATTAAGATATATTTGATAATATATTTCAATATATGCAAGAGCAATATATATACGATAAAGGAATTTTACATTTTTTTGTCTACATACATTAATTCTTGCCAAATTTATTACTGAAATGATCGTTTTTTAAACTTGATTACTTTTATTTATTTTGACCATTTTTTAAACTAAAATAACTATTTATAAAGAAGAGCTACAAAATGAAAAGAAAATTATATATAACAAAATTAAAAAATAATTTTATTAACTTGTTCATAATTATAGATAATAGTTCTATATATATTATAGCATTTGTTCCACTAGTTATTTTGAACCTGAGTTAGGAAAAACATGATTGGAACGTGTTCTTAACATTCATAGGATATAATCTCTGTCCCTAGCCAAACCAAGTTAACTTATCGTTGTAACATGTGAATAGATTGAATCAGATAATGAACACCCATTTGTTCTACCATTTTAATTCAGAAAAAACTAATCGTAGATGACTTAAAAGTTGTATTATTAGTGATGCCAGATGCTTAAGCTCATGGCCCTATCAAATGAATGGACAGATTATCATGCATGACAGCTTGGTAACTTGAAAGAGCATGACCATAGACCATAACACGGCATCAATCAAAAATAACGAAGTGGATTATCACTGGATTGGCTTTAATAATAAGATCAAACAAAGCTGTCACCGATCAATAAAACCAGTAGATAGGTTTTGATATCCGCATTTATTTTTCACCTACCCCTTCTTTTTAAAATGTGAGAGGAATAAATTAGCTAATAAATTCTCATGTTCGTATGCGTTTGGTAGTTAGTATAGACAAAGTTGATGGAAAAAGTAAAGTCAACCAACTAATTCTCTGAATAGTCAAGTGGCTCCATTTACAAAGTCTAACTTTTTATCCTTGTACTTTTTGCTTTATCATTCTTCTATTCTTAACCAAAATCATTTCATCTTGAAAAGTTTATGAAATCTCAGCTACTCAGTGAGCAATCACTAGCATCACCCTAAAGGCCTAGTGTCTTATCTTTCTCCTGTTTTGGGTATTTCCTTTTGCTTTTTCATTTGGGGTTGCAACTTTTGTACACTCCTAGATTTTGGAGTTGTTTGTTTGCATGCTTGTCTGGTTGTGTTTGAAAGATATAACAGAAGCCTTTTAGTATTGGGGTGATTTTAGTTGATGGGTGCTTGTTGGAGCAGTGGGACGAAGGCTGTGAGCCCTTCCAGTGCAGGTAAGCTGCTTATTGAATTGCATGTTACATCATTTTGTTTCCTCTTGATATCTGAATACGCTAAATTACTGGTCAAGATTTAGTTTTTGGAGTTGGGGTTTGATTCTCTTAATCTTGAAGTTGTCAAGTTGATGAAGATTTGGACTGCCATAGACATGCATGCTATACTTCAGATCCGTGCAATATAAGACTGCTATGTCTTATCTTATGGGGTGATCCTTGTTTCTTCATAGTTGAGGAATCTCACTGAATGCCTAAATTCTAGATTTGTGCCTTAGTCTAAATTTTCGATGTTTTTACCCCGTGTGGTGATCACTGTGGTGAATCCTGTTGGAAAAAACTGTGATTTGAGGTTGAGAGAAAATTTAGTCAGCAACATAGGGATAATCTGTGGCCGTAGCTGGAATCCATGTAAATTTGGTTGTAAAGAGTGATGATAACCTTGTTTATTTTGTTTGTTACAAGGTACTGTGGTTACTGAATTTTTGATCATTTGTTTTGGTACGTTGACAGGGTTCACTTCTAGAAGTGTGAGCAGAGAGGGCTATGACATCCATTCAAGTAGCAGGAACTCATCAGCCTCCATACCCATGACCCCTCGGAGTGAGGGTGAGATCTTACAATCTTCAAATTTGAAAAGCTACAGCTACAATGACCTAAGAATAGCAACAAAACATTTCAGCCCAGACAATGTCTTAGGGGAAGGTGGATTTGGTTCAGTTTTTAAGGGTTGGATTGATGAACATTCGCTTTCTGTTACCAAGCCTGGTATAGGCATGGTTGTTGCTGTGAAGAAACTTAACCAAGAGGGGTTCCAGGGTCACAAGGAATGGTTGGTAAGTATCAATTATTTTCTAAACACATTTCTGTTTCCTCATTTGATGAAGATTCTGGCTTTAAGTGGTTTTACATTAACAAGATTCTAGGCAGCTCCAAGCTTTTCTGGTCCTGTTTCACGGATTTCTGTTTAACTTAAACGGCTTCTTCTTTTTGATTTTATTGTCATTACTTTACTAAACACTTTTTTGATAACTTTCTTCTTGTTTTTACACTGTAACTTGCAGGCTGAAATCAACTATCTCGGGCAACTGCAGCATCCTAATCTTGTCAAGTTGATAGGCTACTGCTTAGAGGATCAGCACAGGCTTCTAGTTTATGAATATATGCCAAAGGGCAGTGTGGAGAATCATCTATTCAGGAGTCAGTACCATGTAGTTTATACGAATACATTTAGGGTATCCTAGAATATCTCAGCATATTGTTGAATCAATTAATTGTGTAATTTCGAAGCAATCTTAGGAGTTGTTTGCTATATTGCCATATTTCTTTCCATATAGGCTTTGTACTAGCTGTGCTATTCCTCTTTCAAAAGAGATTGTAATTTTTGCTTAATCTCCCAATGTTTCAGTACTAACGTTGAAGATATCATCATTAATGCAGGGGGGTCTCATTTTCAGCAGCTTTCTTGGACATTAAGATTGAAAATATCCCTTGGGGCTGCTAGGGGTCTTGCTTTTCTCCATAACTCAGAAACTAAAGTCATATACAGAGACTTTAAGACTTCTAATATCCTGCTTGATACGGTATGTACTGAAAAATTGGTATTGTCTTTGTATGGTTTAATATGATGGATTTTATGATTCCATAACTAAGCTAGTTAATTGACGAATGTTTTGCAGAACTATAATGCCAGACTTTCTGATTTTGGGCTGGCCAGAGATGGACCCACTGGTGATAAGAGCCATGTTTCTACAAGGGTCATGGGAACACATGGATATGCAGCACCAGAGTATCTAGCAACAGGTACAAGAACCATGTTTCCGTACTAGCTTTTTTACCTTTCCATGCCACAATTTTCCCTAAAATAGTATACTTTGTTGATGGACCATATAGATCAAAGTCAGGTCATTTTCTCTGTTTAGACTATTCTCATTAGTGGCTCCACACATTATTGCTTACATAGCAATGGTTACAGACCGGCACCATTTTCTTGAGATGTAATATAATATCCTATACACTACTATGCATGGATTATTGGAACCACATGTATATGTTGTATGCTTATTTTTAAAATATAAAATATGATTAGATATTTATCGGAACCTTTATATGTAACTATTTTATTTTATTTTTCCATGTTTACTAGGTCACCTCACTGCCAAGAGTGATGTGTATAGTTTTGGAGTAGTACTTTTGGAAATGTTATCAGGAAGACGTGCCATAGACAAGAATAGGCCATCTGGGGAACAGTGCTTAGTTGAATGGGCAAAACCTTACCTTGCTAACAAAAGAAGGGTTTTTCGTGTAATGGATAGTCGTCTAGAAGGTCAGTATTCCCTTAACCAAGCTCAAAGAGCAGCCACTCTTTCTTTTCAGTGTCTTTCTGTAGAGCCCAAATACAGGCCAAACATGGATGAGGTGGTGAGAGTATTGGAGCAAATACGTGACTCAAATGATCAAGTGAAAAATGGTGATCATAATAAAAAGCGTCGACTAAGTGGCTCTGCCTCTGGCCATGGCCACCCAAATGGACTCCCTGCATCTGCTAGCACAGGAAGTTCTGATGCTCCAAAAAAGTTGGCTTATCCAAGGCCTTCTGCTTCTTTTCTGTATGCTTAGTCAAGGAATTTTCTGGTGAGAAAGGAGTAGCTGTTCTTAGATGTGACATGAACCATACCTGTTAAGTAATGTATAGTTCCCTTTAAAATCTTGTATTTTGGCCTACATTTTGTCATTGTAACACTGATTGTTAACATAGTTCCATCTGTTTCCGTAAAGTTTTTATTTTTTGTTACTCTTGAATCCTTTATGAAAGTGCAATGGAACCAACAAAGTTGATCACTATGATCCTTTAAATCTAACACCATTTAATTAATTTTCGTTAGAGATTTCATCATTAAGCAGTTTACTCTAATGATATATTCCTTCAAGTGCAAAACTTCTACTGTTAACTTAGGCCAATCCTTTTATGACGGCTTTTAGGAATCCAAACCTAAAAAGAACTTAATTAGTAAAGTCTAGTACCAAAAAACTTAAAATAGTTGAGGAAAGTTGAGATTTAAACCAGGATTAAGTGGATTAGTAACCAACTAAACTAAATTATTTTGTTCAAACATAGATTTATATTTTCCTAAGTCAACTACTCATCATTTTACACTGTAAGACAAAAAAAACATGATTGTTTCTTTCTGCACCCCATCAAATTTATCTTGCATCTCATCCTTCCGGATTTTAGTTTCCGGAACTCAGTAAATCAATTTTGGAAGCATTTTTCAGGAACACACTAAATCAATTTTGGAAACATCTTTTCGAAAGATACTCAACCAATTTTCCAGAATAAACTCACCTATTTCTATTTTGGAAAAACTTATGGAGTTTAGGAAGAAAATTGATAGGTACAGGAGCAACAGAAAATTTTAAGACAATAATTTGTCTTCTCTCATTCTTATCATACACTGAAATTTCCCCACACTTCTTCCTTCTCTCTCGTGATGCTTTCTTCTCTCACTTTTTTATTGCTAAAACAGCGGACAACAAAGCCAAAGGAGGAGTCCAACTGCTTCAACCTTTCATCTTCCACTTCTTTTTTGTTACTTTCCATCTCTTCTCAAAGGCCAAAGGTGTGGAGGAGTCTTTTCTCATTTTCTTGTAGTTACCCTCTTGTAGTTTCAAACTGAAAATAAAGTTCAGTTGAATTGAACTGAATTACTTTTACAATTAAAAAAACAAAAATTGGATTACTTTTATATACATTGAATTTATTTTAACTATTTAAAACTAATTGTTATTTGAATTCGTAAAACTTGGAATGATTTATTAAATTAACCCATTATAGAGTTTGGATGCATTCAATTTTAGGCACATAACTAATAACTTAAAAATGTTAAGAATAGAATGCTAGAGAGAAAAAGATTCGTACAAAGTTGTTTTGTATACTAATTCATTAATTCTATTAATGAGTCACATTCAATTGTCCAACCACTCTAGTCAAGTTTACATTAAATAAGAGTTTATACACATACATAGTCAATGAGGAAGATCCACCCTACTCTCTCTAGAAGGGTGTTCTCTTTCATGCTCTCTTCTCATTCTATTTGATGGAGATTGATAGTATTGGTTAAGAATCCTACTATATACCTCATGATGTGAGGTAGTGTGTGTAATTTGAGTTGAAGTTCTTGAACTCCTTCTAGTGTGATTTCTACTTCTACTCTTACTCTTTCTTATTTCTTCATGTTTTCTCTTGTTTAGCATTGAGAACTCTAAGCTCCCTACCAATTTAGCAAAATATTCTTCTCTTTCCATTTTTTCTTTTTCTTTCAAAATAGCCTATTGTTCAGCTCTTTGACCAAGTTTTTCAAAGTGAGTTTGACCTCTCACTACCAATTTTTTAGGTTACAATTTTAGACATTCTCAAGGTTTTTTTGAAAATATGCAATGCAACAAACAAACATGAATTCCAAATAAGTTTCCTTAAGAGATTTAAGGAAGCAAAAAATACTTAAGTTCACTTATAGGAAAAGACATTTCTATTTCTCTCGAGCACATTAATGACCCTCACTCTCGCTCACTGCACCATGCCCTTAAGCTCTAGGGTTTTCAAGTCTCGAAGAATCAAGGAAAAGACAAGGAGAGGGACGAGAGTTGACTCTCGAAGGAAGAAGAGAATGACTTCTCTCCCTCGCGGGTTTCGACCCAAAAGCAGGTTAGTAAAAAGAATAAAACAAAACGAAGGCAATAACTAAAATGAAACAAATTTTGTTTTCAGCAAGGTTCGAGCCTCGATCCTAAACGCCACATTCAGCAACACACAAATATCACTAATCCAAACTCAATTCACTAATAAAATAATCATTTAGTAGTTATTTAAATGTTACTCTAAGGCTTATCACAATTAAACAATTATAAAACACAACATTCCCATAATTAATAAATTGCTTCCATTAAAATTGTGTAATTTCCCTGGTCTTACATGTGGAGGTTATATGGTTACACTATTTCATTTTTATGCAAATTTTTTGTGTTGTTTGAATTTTGAATATTTGGTGATTTGTTGCATGTTGAATAATAAAAAGTCAAAACAATCCAATTTAATCAAATTAGTTCGAGTTTTTGTTATTTTAAAATAAAATATTTCTTGTTAGGAATAAGAATTAAAGAGAAAGCTTAATTTGAACCATTTTTGTCACTTAATATATTTTATAGATTTATTTAAATTATTTATGCAAAATTTAATTAATTGAAATATTGGGAAGTTTATCCTTAGTTAAGAAAAACCTCACTAGATATGAGCTTTTAAATAAAGCTCCCATTTGTTGGGTCGTTGGATGAACCAAATCTTGTTGAGTTAAATTCATTTAATTAAAAATTTAAGTGTTTTGTTGTTGGGGAGTAAATTCTTGACCAACGTTGTTTTAATAAAAACTCCTAGTAATGTAGTTGTTGGCAAATATCTTGATCACTAAGTAAGCAAAACTTTTTCTGGGTGACTAAAATTCACTACGCATATGACATCGACTAGATAAGTAGAATAGTAGATACATAAATTTGAACATGTGCTTAATTTGTCGAGTGGGTCAACCAATGGTTGAACGAGAGTATTTTTTTAACTTTGAAAAAATAAGCTTTTAAAATGTTTCTAAATGCTACAACTTGTTTGGTTTATCATAATATTATTATATTTTGATCAACACTTGGGTTGAATGTTGTTAAATATGATAAATGGATGATAATATTAGTAATTGAGTTTAGGTGAAATGTATATTAATAAGAGTGTATAATGTTTTGGTTGTGATATAACATGTGATGTGTTATGAGTATAGAAGGAATACTACATTGAGATACCTAGGTTATGTATTCAAACTGGGACTCTAAAGGAGATGATCTCGACTCAATTAATATTGGACTCATATAGAAGAAAATATCAGGTGATGATAGTTGAAGGAGGTTCCTATAACCTAGTTTATGGTGAAAAGTAGAACTATGTTTGATAGGTCATAGGGATTTACCCTATCATAGGAATACATTGAGTTCCTATTCATGTAGCTTTTGTTATGGTGATAATTGAGTGAAGATAATATGACAGATGCAAATCTTTGAGTTTAATTTAATGCACGAGTCATCCAAAAATAGAATTAAGTGTTTATGATGTGTGATATAAAAATCTTATGACATGAGAGATAACTTATTGGGACGAGAGTTACACACTTAATGATGAATCTTTAATGAATAAATTGGAATTATATTCATTAGATTAGATTAAATAGATGAGATATGAATATAATGTGTATAAAATTGATATAAGGATGATAAGAAAGTTTTAACTTATTCCGGTTTGTATATATGTGTTGTTTATGAACTATGATGATCAATTGTTACATATGAACATATAAATTTGCAAAAAAATAACCTCAAAGTGATAAGTTGAAGATAGAAAAAATAATTTATAAATAAATATATATATATATATATATATATATATATATATATAATAATAATAATAGAGATATGTTTTTAGTATATTAACGTAGTTATCATAATGAATGTTCCGTTAATCAAAATAAAACATAAATAATTGATCATTTGACTATTGTATTTTATTTTTAATATAAATTTCATTTTTTCATGTTTTCATAACTTTCATATTAAACATGAAAATAGTTATTTATGTTATTACTATTTTCTATATAAATTCTAGAAATTGAATTAACACATTTACAATTTTTTTTTCCAAACCAAACTATTTGTTAGTCTGAGTTGAGCTTAATAAATTTACAACAATCTCCTTTCTTTTATGTAAATATTTTTTATTTCATTAACTACTCACTTGATTTGTGATTATTCTCATTTTAGTTTTATCATTACCACAAAAGATTTGTAGCTATTTTATATAATAAGAAAGTCTTTACTTATATTAGCATTAAAAAAACTAGCATCTACACTATTATATAAAGAGAAATCAATATTTTTTTGTCCATATTTTGTTTTTCCATTTTATTCTTTAGTAATCATCTTTTCAAATTCAAATAATTATTCATAACAAAACAATATATTTTTTAATATTATTTTTTTAATAACTACTTTTTAAATTTAAATAATTTATAATAAAAATATTTTTATAATAAAAAAATATTAATATAATGAAAAGTTATACAAATGATTTGTTTTATAATTATTTTTACTAAAATATTTATTTATTCCATAAGTTGAAATATAAAGAAAGTTTTGAAACAATAATACTAATATAAAAAATTATAAAATATTTAAAAATAATAATTACTAATAAATTTATAAATTTATGGTGAAAGATAAGAAAAATTTATTAAAAAAGATTATAAAGATAGAAAGAAATTTATTTCCTAAGATTACTATGACTTAGTCAAATAACATAAAATACATAATATTCTTGTACTTTCCAATATCAAAGAAACATTTAATAAAAAATGTAAAATTAAAAAATATCTTTTATTTTCGGATCTTCATGGGTCCGTATATTACTAGAATATAGTAATATCTAAATAAACAATATAATAATATGTAATTAAATAATATAATGTTAACGAAATTTGATAGAATTATATAATTACTCACATATATATATATATATATATGATAATAGTAAATTAAATAATAAATATTTTGTAAAGCATCACATTGTTTTCATTTATTTTTTACTTGTTTTTGCACACATTTTAGTTCAAGTCCAAAAAAGTTTACAAATATAATAAAAATTTTCAAGAAAAAAATATTCAATCAATTCTTTTATGTTCTTACTAAATTTACATCACATATTCTTGTATGATACTTTTTTATTAGTTATTTTTAACAACCACAACCTATTCTGAGTTCGGTTTACTTAGGGAAAGACCTACGCTCTTTTTCAGAATAAGTACAATCTCAACTTTTATTAAATAGAGTTTAATCAACGGAAAATCCAATGGTTCTTTTCATATTGTCAATTGAATTGAATTTATTCAAGCTTTGATTGAAGAACATAAGAAGGTGATCAAACTAGTACTATAACATAAAGTGCAAAGGAAGAAAGAAACATATAAATGCAACATAATTGAAGGCAAGTTAAAGAAAGAGACATGCATTATAACTGAAACATATTACATAAAGGAGCTGCGGGCTACATGAACTTTGCAGCCTCTTCAGCCCCATTAAGTCAGAAAGCATTCCTGGATAATAAATATGCCAGCAACACCCAATTACACTTCACTACTAATTAATAATATCACACACAAATTCACCTTCCAAAAACCATACCATTACCACCATCACTTTAACTTATCAACACACCTTCAAAAATTCCAGGGAAAATAAAGGAAATTTGAAGTGGAAAAAACTAAACCATAGTCAAAATAAAACTTAGTTATATTTTTAGACCACAAATTCAAGATAATTCTAATTTTAGTTTTCTTTTGAAAAAAAAAACACTTTTTAATCCCTTAAAATTAGAAAAATATATTTTTAATTTCTAAATTTAAAAAGAGAGAAATGTTATTCTCTAACTTTTAGCATGTAAAAATTAGAATTATATTTTTTAATTTCAAGGGATTAAAACACATTTTTAAAATCAAAAGATCAAAACTAAAATCATCTCAAATTTTAGATATAAAAAATATAATTAAAGAAAAGACTGAAACTACTAAAAGAAACATTTATGTTTAAATTTTCTTTCAGACGCGGAAATTCTTGCCCGTGAAGGTCTGCCCGAACTGCCAATGAGAAGGTGCCACGTTCCACGAGGTTGACGTGCGTCTGTCACTGCCCGTGACTCTAAAGGAAAGGGCCTGGCCCACTAAATTGGCGTTGGATTGCCAATTTTGGCCCCAGTTTCGGCTCATGCTGTTCCACGCACTTTTGCTTCCCTTCACACTCACGCGCACGATATCCCCTGCACCCGCCACGTTGGAGATCAAAACCAGGTTGAAGTAACGAAAGCCGTTGATAGTGAATCTAATTCCACCAGCCTTTCTGCATGCCACCCTGTACCAAACAAAATATTATTATTATTATTATTTATGTGCTCATTTTATTAACTCTTTATTCTAGTAATCAAATCAAAACACTTTTTATGTTTAAATTGGTTGGAACGTGAGAAAACAAAAAGATAAATTATTAAAAAGTGGTCATGGTCATGGTTAAAACTTCAAGGTTTGACTGGGATATTTTGGTAATTTAATATTTTACAGAGTCCCAAAATGCAGTTTTTTTGAAGAAGGTGTTGTGGGTGATGTGTATGACTGTGACCCAACAAAATCACTGCAGAACCAGGTCTTGTGCTTTTAATAATACACTAATATTTATTGTATAAAAAGTTTGATTAAAAATTTATCAAAAAATTATAAAGTCAAATATGAGACCATTATTGGTGCGTAATGCAAACAAGACTGGATGAAGCTGCAGATTATATTGATAGGGTTTTTGTATATTTGTGAAGAAAATCATAATGGAACAACAATCAAACATAGAAAAGCAGTCATCCTCATCCTCATCCTCTGAGGTTTGTTTTGGTACAGGCCAAAGCACATGATTCCTCGGTTTTCATACTGGAACAAGCATGAAATTACGACAATACCCTCTAATAATAAGAACAATGAACAAAACAAATATTTACCCCATCTTCTGTATAGTTTTGCAGGAAAATTAATTCTTTGTTTCTTAAATTTCGTTTCATGAAAAAAAACTTCCAAAATGGTTTTGTGAAAATTAAAAATTTCAAAATAAATTAAACACTTAGACAAATAAAAACACTGTTTTTACCGTTTTACATGTTTCATGGTAATAATAACATTAAAAATATGTGATAAAACCTTTTACAAAGATTTATCGTGATATGGTTAAACATCTAATAGTCTAAAAAAACACATAATTTTTTTAAAAAAATAATCTTAAAAGGAAAAACTTACAAAATGATGATGGTTGAATTGTAAATTACTTAGTTATACCTTTTAGTGTTTTATGAACTTTCCCATTTTCCATCAATGCTATAATTTTTTAATAAATCCGAAAAAAAAAGTTAAACAAAAGTTAACAAGACATATATACAAAGTGGTAAATATCTCACCGGCGGTAGCTGACGGGGACAATTCCGGCGCGGTACTGGGCGATCTTGAGGAACATGGGCATGGCTAGGTCGAAGTGGGGGTGCGGAGGGTTGCACCAGCCGCCATTGTCGCTGGGAAGGGCGAAGTTGGGAGGGCAGAAGTTGGTGGCTGTGATGATGATGGAAGGCCTCCCAGGGTTGCACCACCGTGGGTCCTGGTCGCACTTTATCTCAAAACACGCGCCGCAACTCAACCCATTGTTGAACAGTGCCGTGCTCAAAGCTGCAGTGTTCACTCCATACCCTTGACTGTATAGGTTCCCGTACCCACATGCCCCACCTAAAAAACATAAACAAATTAAAAACATAAATAATCTGCAGTGGTAGAACAAGAAGCAGTGTTTTACACTTTTTTGGCTCAGGGTGAATTTACCTATTGTCATAAAATAAAATCTGTATTTTAATCATGGTAGAATTACTAGTTATGCATAATCTTTGGAAGAAGATACCAACATCAGTTTCCAATGCATGCATACCTAACTAACTTTTCCACTGGGGTTAGAATAAGGAAGGGTAAAGATAAAGAGAAAAAAAATAGTAAAAAAATGTTATAAAATAAAAACAAAATGAACAAAAAACACAAAATAGACGAAAAAAATGAAAGGGTGTCTGTATTTGAGGTAATTTAAGAGGTTTCAGACACCAAAAATTTTGCTTACCCACTTTTAATGTGAGATTATACAACAAAATCCACAATGCATGAAATAGTGTTCCAAAGTAAAACAACTCAATGTGAGTTTAAAGAAAACAGAGCACTGTATGGAGGAGAAAGGTGAGATTTTGAAGGTTGCAGTGGTGGAAAAAGGAACGGCAATGGTGTACATTTTGAAGAGCAGGGGAACCGGACATCATGGGTTGAAAGAATTGGGCAGTTTAAGGTTTTAAAAGAGTGAGGGTTTATTTGTGTACATACCCATTGTTCCAGAGGCATCGCTTCCACCGTAGAAAGTAGCGTGGGCACCCTGCCATGCACCACCGGTGTAGACACCGGGAATTCTGGCACTGGTGGCAACGAAAAGGGTAACCAACGATGCAATGCATAGTGAAACCGTTCCAGCCATGGCTGACAGAGAGAGAGAGAGAGAGAGTGATAAGGTGTTTTGGTTGTGTTGAGTTTGTAGGGAATGCGCGGTGGCAGAGGTAAGGGGTACTTATTGACGGAGGGAAAGGAGTGGGGAATCTCCAACAGTCCAAAATACTTACCATCCAATTAATGCATTCTCTTTCTAACCATGTGATGATGTGATGTAATTATTTTTGGCAATGGGATAGAATGGATCTTTTTATTTCAATAAGTGTAAATGGAATTACTAATAAATTGGTTTCATTTTCTCTGGTTGGGTTTTTACAATTTAGTGCGAAAAAAAAAATATTTTGACATACGTAATATTTTTTATATTTATTTGATATTATTCTGTCTTATTTTTTATTTTTATTTTTTGAAAAATTAGGAAAGTTTATTTTTTTAAAATTATTTTATTTTTATTAGGTGTCTCAAATAAATATCAATGTGTCAGGTTATCTTATTCTAGTTTGATTTTTTTTTGTATTTTATAATAATTTATTAAATAAAAAATATATTATTAATAATTTATTTTCATAATTTACTTTTATATCATAATAAAAATTTGGCAACTAAGAAAATAGATTACAATAAATAATTTGAAGAGTGCAATTAGGGATGGTAAAAAAATTCGCGTCCGCGGATATTCGCAGTTAAAATCCACGACGATAGTTGGTACCTGCGAATATATACTACCTGCGAGTTGCGGGTAGCGGATTTTTTAATACCCGCTTATAAATGGGTCGGGTGCGGGTATTATACTATTCGTACCCGCGAATATCCACTACCCGTAAAAAATAAAAATAAAAATTTAATTTATATTTTATTAAGTTAAATTTAATTAAAATTAACGTTAATTTATATTTTATAAGGTTAAATATAATTAAAATTAAATTTTAATTTATATTTATTTTAATATATATTATATTTTATATATTTTTTTGTAATTTTATTTAAATTTTATTATAATATTTTATAAAAATATATTTTTTTAAATATTTGAGGGTATCGTGAGTTTTAAAATATCCATAGATATTTTTTAAACGGGTATCCATACCGATAACAGGTATAGTGAATAATTTTTTTTTGTCGGATCGAATTGCGGATAGACACTATGACTAAACCGTTGTCACTCTTTCTGAAGTACAATTAAAGATTTTTAATTTCTTCTCCACTAACCACTTTTACGGAACGATATAGGAACGTGAAAATAGTGGGCACAAGTGATTTAAAAGGAAAAAGAAACAAATGTAAATGATAAAGAGATTAGGATTTTAAAAATGTGTCAAGCAAATTAAATATGGATAATAGGATAAAATAATAATGTAAATCATCAATAACTTAAAATGACAAAAAAAAAATCACTGATGAAAACAATACGGGATTTTAGGAAAGTAAAATTCATAAATGGCAAAAACTCATTGAAAGGAAGAATTGTTCGCCATATAACAATGGACATTTTGATAAAACATAATTCAAAAGTGACAAGAAAAAGCAATAAAAAGAATAGATGTCGCCAAAATAGGAATGAAGATTTGAGGAATTTCTCTAGTACATTATTTTCTTATAGTTATAGTAAATGACTGGTGGGCTATGATTTGCATTTGGAGTAATCTTTATAATTCGAACTATTAAACGAGTTGATTTAATAGAGTTGAATTAAAATATATTCTACTCAATTTAACCTATCTTTTGACAATTAAAAAATTTGGTGATTCAGTTCTTCTTATGGGTAGTGTAGTGTATCAAGTGATGTGATTCATTTAGATATATAATTTCTTGTTTCATCTTATTTTATATTTATAGTAACATTAAAATAAATTTACTTTACTTATCTATTTATAATAATATAATAAGAATATTCATTTATTTAACTAAATATTAATCATAGTTAAGAAATGATATAACAAAGAGAGGGAGTAAAAAATTAAGTGTTAAATAATATAATTACACAAATAAACAAAATAAGTATTAAAATATTATTCAACATCATTAACCTTAAACAAATTAAAATGTCAATATAATTAATGCATTTTATGCTAACTATGATAGTAGTTATTTGTTTATGTTTAAATCAAAGTCATAACCACAAATGTTTTGGAAAAAGAAATGAAAAGCATCTTTTGTGACAGGGAAACTACATATTGACATTGTAATTGCTACAAGTTTTATATAAAGAGTATATATCGTACAATGTTTATATTAGAACATAAGAAAAGGAAAAAAAAACATGTGATCTTATTAACTACAATTCAATCTTATCTTTCTTTTACTTATCCAAACTCTACTTATCAAGCATATACACACATTAAGAAATGCAATGTTAAAACAATGTAGCACGTAAAGTTGATTAAAGAAGATCATATGATAACAAATGTGACGAAACAAACAACATCTTGAAAATTTTATATAAAGGAATCAATATGAAGAAGAAGAATACAAACACATGATAGACTTGAAAAGTGACACAAGTATTAAGTGAAGATGTTTTGATGATGAAGCTTAAAAATGGAGATGTTGAAGATGTCTAAAGTGTTTCATTGTATGTTGTTCAGTCTTTTTACACAAAGTTATAATTAACACAACCTATTAAAATCAATTCAAAAGAAAATGAGTTTTGAAATGTGAAAAAATGCTTTAAAAATCTCTTTTTGGTTACGAGATGCACTTCATGAATTCTTAGATTTCTAGATGCTCATTCGATGAACTCTTATGTTTTTCATACTTTAGGCATTTTATCAAGCAATTTTAAGTTCATTTGAGCCTTTGAGAAGCTTTATAATGTTCCCTTTGTCCTCAACCTTTTATAAAATATCACGTCCAATGCAAGCTATTTGATTCTAACTTGTGGATAATCAATTCAACTAATAATAAATAAAGAACAGAGCCTGAAGATGCAGATGAAGATCACAGTGCTTAAACGAAGAAGAAGAAAATTGGTTGAAAGCTCTCCCTGAAACCCAGATAACATCACAACACATCAATTGCAGTTAAAATTACAGAAATGTATAACAGAAAATGGAATTATAAAGAAGAAAGTTGCATACCTTGCAGTCCATCTTGCGTATTTGGAGGGATCGGTATGGTTGTAATGCATGTGACTTTGAGTTTCACTTTCAACTTCCCTTTGATTATTCATGGGCATGCAACTGAAGAGGGACTTTTGCAAGCTTTTTTGATGATTTCTGGGGAAACTGATGAATATATGTTTGACGACGCCAACGGTGTAAACACTGAGCATGGAAATCCGAAGTAGCAGTGAAAACCAAAGGGAATGCTAATATTCAAAGGGAATTTCAATCCTGAATCAATTTCGCTATTTTCTTCATCCACTTTGATTTTAAAAGGTTTTATTTTTTTTTAAGAATCATATTCCCACTTAAGAATATATATGATGTATAGGTCATTTTCCAATATCCAACCACTTTATTATGTGTTACTGGATTGATATTTTTTTACACAAAGAGAGACTCATGTTCGATTTGAAATTTTTTTTACAATAACTTTTAAATAAACTAAACATGTCATTTTAATGTAGACTTAAATATGCATATCATAGAAAATAAATTGTTTTTTAATATGGTTCCTTCCGGTATTAAAAAAAAAACATTTTCTCATTAGCATAGAGGAAAATCCCCATTCTTCGTTTCGTTCAATTTTGTATTGAAAAACATTTTTATTTCAAGATAGTTGTTAGGATTTTGATATAATTGAGAACTTTAATAATTTATATTCATGTTTCACAATAACAAAATATAATATCTTCTTTGTACATACATTGATAAACATTTTTACAATTATATATAACATTAACAATTATCATATTTTATATTTGTGACACCCCGATTTCTATTTGTAATATCCTGATTTCTGGAATGTATTGGGTTATTAAAAATCGGTAAAATTTAAAACTTATCATTGCGCAAAAACATACTTAAAGAAAAACTTATCCAATTACATTATTTCGAATAATAAAACAACGAAGAAAATACTCTAATTATATTGTCTTAACTTGTAAAACAAAATAGCTTAATTATATTGTCTTAACTTGTAAAACAAAATAGCTTTAAATGAATCCCAAGGTTATTTCCCATCCTCTCTCGAATCAATCATGCCTGTGGAACATTTGTAACATTATCTTCTCACGTATAACACATTATACGATCATCGCCAATAATTTCATTCACAAACACACAAACACAAACATGTATGTGGTAAGCTATCGGTAAAACAATCATAACAACAAGGTACATACATACTGATTATATCAACTAATCAAACACAACAAGATACATACCTTCTGATTATATCAACCATAATCAAACACACAAGATACATACCTTCTAATTACATCAACTGTAATCAAACACCGCATACATAGTTTTAATAGTAATGAGATTCCTAATCCTCTAACATAAACAATTCAATCATATTGAATTACTCGATCATCGATCCCTGATTCTTGAAATTTGATCATCGATCCTTGATCTCTAACCCTTAATGTCATCACTAACATCTCACACATAGACCATTGGTCTATCCACTCATTAGTACTCATGCTAACTACTTACTATAACCATGATAATAACACCACTATCAACATAACATAACCTATAGCATCTCAAGTACCATGATCATCATCATAGATACACTACACTCATGACTATCTCAATCAAGAACAACATCATGAGCATTACCGTACCATAATATCATAGTGGAAAGAGTCCATCTCACTCATGTACCCTACCTCACCGACTATAACCGCTCCTACAACCCACATGTAGTCTCCCCTATAGGACATTTGTAGTCTCCCCTACATATCATCTCCTTCCAATGCACACAAGGCAAAATGAAGCACATATCCGTAGATAGAATCAGGATTTATGAGGTACAACAAGTAGACTTATCCTCCACTCTCATGCTCATCAATCACATACTCAGGTACCTCCCAACACTCATTCATGCTCCAGTCTCAACCACAAGTCAAACTGAACCTAAACATAACCACTAACCTCAATCTCTGATTATCATCATGTTCCACAGCTCCTTAAGCTTGGTTCACATCCATTCTTCAT